ACACAACTACAGGCTTTGAAGGTCTGACAAAAGGAGCATCACATCTGAAGTAGCCCTTCCTCTCCAGCTGCAATATCTCTCCATGCTTCAAATTTCACATGTTTGAATCCCCGAGTGCTGCAGTCTCCTTCTTGGTACACGGGTTAAGCACATCAAGGAAACTCTCTCCTTCCTCCAACTGCAACCACAATGGTCACAAGCTCCAACCAAAAATTTAAATTTTATGTACCCGCTAATCAGTATGGTTACAATTCTGCTTTCAAGGTATTAAGACAAATATAATGTATTGAGCAAAACATTATGCCACATGAGCAAAACACACTCAATTTAGATCAATAAAACCCGACTCCAATGTGGTTGAGTCAATTACATGGGTCCATCTCCATTATATTCTTTTTTTGTGTCACATATACAAACCATGAAAAAAATGTTCAATTAAATAGATGCATCAAATGGTGTTACCCACTCCAAAGTTTCTTGTGTATTCATTCTACACTCTTCACATCCACACACAAAAGGAAAAAAAAAAACACTATAAAGCCACTTTGAAAACTTGTAATTTTAAATGCTTCATAGGCATTGGGATAAATCAACAACTGGAATACCAAATTCAGACAACTGGACAAAAACAATTCAAATAAACAACAATACCGAGAAAGTTTTAAAGAACAACCTTAAGATAAATTTGAAAAAGAACATGAAAAGTAGACGAGTCAACATTCACGAAGCTGGTTGGAATGTATTGAGAAAGTCATTCAATTAAAAGTATGGTGATATGAGAATAAATAACTCAAGGCTTACAAAACAATCGATATCTACAGTTAAAAATAATTAGCCGTCGGGAGTAAAGTAGCCTCACTTTCAGTGGCCCAAAAAAGCAACAAAAGAATTAGGAGAATAAAAAAAGAACACTCTTACTCAAAAATTGATTGAAAGCAAAGAGCAATAAACCACCCCTAACAACTAAAGTTCTCAGAGCAGACAAGTTTTAAACCGTCACACAACTGTACTCTTTTGAAAAGGAACACAACAAAAAGCTCCAAAGTCCATAGATGAAGAATTACCTTTTTCTTTGTGATTAGATAGTCAAAGTCCACCAGAGTGAGGTTAACTCCTTCACTTGTATCTGGTAGCCAGGTGAGCTTCAATTTTGTGGTCTTGACAGATCCTTCGAGATGCAAAACACCACTCAAGTGTGTGACCTTTCCATCCTGGTCCTTCTCAATTTCCTTTACTATGGCATTTCCCCAATCCATTAAGGTTATTTCCTCATTTGCAGAGATCGACTCTGCATCTGCATGGTCTATCCATATCCTATTTGTGTATGTTGTGGCCTTCTCTCCAGCACCCTCATGTTTCTTGTGCCTTTGTATGATCCGAACAAATGGTTGCTCAGGACCATTGGTCAAGGTCAATGGCACCCTTTGTTCTTCAATGACAGCAGTATGCCTGGGACACATAGGATCAATAATCTTCTTATTAATTGTCCAAAGCTTGTCCCATTCCAGGAGGTTAAGATTTTTTATGCCCCCTGAAACCATATAGAATTAGACTTAAAACTTTAAGAGGATAAAAAGCTTACTGTACAAAATAAACCACAAATATAAATCAATGGCCATATATTTGCACATGTAGAAGTAAATAAGGAATTTTGGCATGCACAGATGTGATGAATCTGAACTTTCCATCCAAAGCCATCTTATAACCAAACGAATTCCTCAATTCAAACAATTGTCCCAAGAATGACATAAAGTTCTCTGGTATAGTTAGAAAAAATTAAAAGGAAAGGGAAGAAATCTGCTATTACGGGCCCAAAAGAAAGTTCTTCGAGGTTCACAAGCCATTTTTTTGCTGTATAATCTTCAACTAGAATCTAGATTTCTCATCAGATCTGTATACATTATCTCATTCTGACTATAAAAAAAACATCAGAATAGAAAGATGTAAAGAAATGGACACATGTTGGCTTGCCTGTTCAAGAATGAATTGCACCAGTGCCTCAATTTGCAAACCTCTGCGAACAATTCCTTGGACAGTTGGAAATCGAGCATCATCCCATCCATCAACCTTTCCGTTTTCAACAAACCAACGGAGATGATGCTTGCTGAGAATTGTGACCATATTCAACCGGCTAAATTCATAAATGTGAACCTTACGCAGTCCCATATCTGCTTGAATCCTGTCATATTGAGCATTTCGATCATGGTACTCCCTCGATCGAAGTGCATGAGTTATACCTTCTACAGAATCAACAATTGGACAAGCAAAATCATATATTGGATATATCTTGTATTGGACCCAATCCGATGGTAAGGAACAGGATTGCAATGATAGTACACGGGATCTCGAAGAGACTTGTCTGGATCTTGCATGTCTACCTAACCACGTACACAGAACTGTAATCCTCTCTCTGATCCTTTGATCATTTCCTTCCACAGTTTCAGATTCTCCTCTACGCTGTTGCTCCTACATTTTGATTCAATGCCATCCATTCTTTCTTTCTGCATTTGCTCACGAGGAGTATCATCAACATAAGCTTTACCCTGGCGGATCAGCCATTTCCATCAACTGGGAGAAGTAATCAGCCTTATGTGTAACAGTTTCATGTTTGATACCCAATGTCTCAATATCTTTTAGAAGATTGTCTACAAATTCATTGCTTTCCTTCGATGGATTTGTATCATCAAAGCGAATTATCATTTGGCCTTGGTACCGTTGAGCAAAACACTGGTTAAGTAGAGCTGCTTTTGAGTGTCCGATGTGAAGATAGCCACTAGGTTCAGGAGCAAATCGCAGGCACACCTTTCCAATTTCAGCATCAGGAATATCTACTTCAGATGAAGACCTGATGCTTGCTTTTCCCTTTTCTGGGTTATCTCCACTGACAACCTATTGCCCCTTTGGTTTAGCTGCTGCAGGCTTTCCCGAGCCCTTTTTCCCAACATATGTTGATATGACTTCATTCAAAGCATCGCTATATGAGATAGGAACAATCTAGCAATGCACATGATACTATGGTTGTCGACCCGTCACCCCTTGGAGCATCACCAGTTTATTTTGCTACGTGAAATGCTGTAGTTGATGGTTAGTCGAGCAATCAAGAAAAGCAGTTCCCGAACCCTTATTTTGATATTCTGGGACTCTCAACATAAATGCAGTAAAATCAATCAACGCATGTCAGAAATTCAGATCAACAAAGACACGCTTGAGTGGAAACAACAAAAAGAGAAGCCAGCAAATAATGGATTTTCCTTTTCATTGAAACTTGACACTCACTAATGAGTAAATGCAGTAAACAAAACAGATACGAGTTGGAAGCTGCACCTGCAAGACCAGACCATATGGCAATGTCTGCAATCGACAAAGAGTGCTCCACATGCGACTTTGCAGATAATTGTCAATAAAGTTGCAGGCATTCTCGAATTCAGAGCCTACAGATAGGAAAGGAGCATAATCGAGCCACTGATCAATCTGAGAAATGGAAAGGAAATGAGAAATAAACTTTGTAAAAAGGAATGCGTAACATGTTTAAGAAGGAAAAATGCAAAACTATATAGAGAAAGGAGAGTGGGAAAGAGAATGAAAGACCTGGCTAGATTGAAATGGGTCCTGGTCATAAAGAATGCCAACACGGCCACTGTAGCGAAGAAGCTCATAGGTTCCCTGCACTTTCAGCCTAACAAACGTACATATAAACAAACATGAAAATGTCATTAATTTAATGTCGAAGAGAATTAATCAAGTGATGATGAATGGATACATAGATAGGTGATGAGATTAGGAATTTGGAGGCCAGTAAAGGACAAGGAACAGTAACAAAGCTAAACTCTAAACAAAGCACAGGCATAAGAACCTTGTTGTTATTATTATTATTATTATTATTAAGAAAAAAGAGAAACCGTCACAATTGATGGGGAAAAATAGTCATAAAAATAAACTGGTCCAGAAGGCAATGAGAGAGTGGAAAAGGTAAAAGGGAAGCAAAGGGGTTATATAAGATAAAATAAAGTGACTTGATGGAGAGTAAAGAAAGAATAGAAGAAGGAATGGATACCCATTAGAGAAGACGAAAGCAGGAAGAGAAGCAGAATCAGCAGCAGCAGTGGGAGGAGGAAGAGTGAGGGACGCAGCCTTGGCGGCTGCGATGACAGAAAAACGAAGAGTACTGTCAGAGGCAAAACAAAAGTCTTTTATCTCCATCTCCGTCGCCAGTTAAGATAAAATGGAGGAAATGAGGAGAGTTGATGCAGAGACTGAGTCAGGCACGACGCAACGCTGACCACATTAGTTCTCTTGTCTCCTCTACTCACACTACAAGAATCTCTGTCATTATTTATTCTTTTTTTATGTTGTTGTTAATGGACCTTTGGGCCCTGCACTTCTTCACTGCATGTAGTCTGGGCTCTAGCCCACTTCAATTCACCCAACACGGCCCAACCTCTCTTTTCTTCACACACAGAGTCAGTCTGACAATAAGAGCTACCAATCATTTTTTGCTCATCCATCGAAGGGAATTGCAAAATATCTGCCCTGAGAGTTCACCGAACTGCATCTGACAGAAATTTGAAGATCGCCCTCAATGTTCTAAAGCTCAAATATTATTTGTAAATCTTGAGTAAAAACGAGATCATTGCAGCATCATTTGCCTAATTCTAGTGTTTAAGCAACATGAATAAATCCTACAACTAATTAAGATTACAGATTTTTATTGATTTACAAATCACACTAAAAAGGGCGTGATTTGCTTTAAAATCACCTCTTAACAATTAAAATCACTAAAATGAATTCAATTAGAATTTTAAAACCTATTCCAAATGAAATACAAGAATTCAATTAGCAAATGTGTAAATAGTTGGAAATCGATTATTATAGCATAGCATAGGATTTGGTTACAAACAAGGTGCTAAGTTCCACCATCC